TAAATAAAGTCTTATTTTTTGACATCTGGAACTCTGCTTCTCCACTTCATTGGCCGCACCCAAGAAAATTCCACAACACCCTCAACCTTTTTTACATTTCGTATTTTGTTTTACATGTTGCTGTAATGTTATGTCATTAAAGTCTTGACATGTTTAACTTACAGGAGTATTATTGTGTCACACCACACTGGACAATGTCAGTCTTGTAATTTCAGTCAGTGTTTTAAGTGTTTCTTAAGAATCAAATATACATCTGTAGAGGATTGGATCTCTTAAACGGCACAACTGAGTAGCATCCAAGAGTAAAACAAACAGTGACCTGCTTTAGAGAGGTTTGACATGATGAAATATTCAGACTATTAGAGGAAGTGAAGCTCCAGAGCAGCTCCAGTGAGTTTGTTGTGCTCCTCTCATGCTAGCATAGGACTTTGATGACAATAACCAACCAAATGTATGTTTTATAGAGAATCACTAACTTGATTCCTCCTCTTACATTTGGTCTGTCAATGCTGATCTAATATGAGAAAGAACAACACGGAAACTCATTTACCGCCATGTACATCATAATCAGGAAGCCGGTCATGAACTAGCATGAACTAGCTTCAGAACTGCAGCAGTGTGTGATGAGACGCTATAAGCTCACAGTTCAGTAAGATGCTCCAATAGTATCTCTTTGCTGTGAGGATCGATGAGGTTCATCTGAACACAGAAAGACTGTCACTGGAGGTGGTTGTGGAGGGGTTAATGGCAAGCTAAGAAAAGTGAACTGCTTGTATTAAAATGGCTTTGTATGAGAAATGGTCTTGTATGAGAACCTGGATTTGAGGGACAGAGAAACCACATACTGTCTACAGTGTTTTCAGCATTAGTTTTGTGAATCAACTGATTCACTGAAAAGATCTGACTAACAGCAATGATTCATTCATAAATCAGGCATCACTTTTCTCATATCTGATGGATGGACAGGGTGGACTTTAAGATATACAGGGAATATGTTAACTTTGAGGAGTATATTTTCATTCAAAAGCCTGATAATACTTTCAACTTATTAAACATTTCTTGACTTGTAGCTTTGTTGAGTGTTGCTTGTCACGTGATTTTGAACTTAACACATTGACCTCAGATCAGTTCCGTTCTGCTAATCTGACTAATTACAAAGATGATGTTGCGCATAACAACGAAGTGTTAAACCAAGCAATGCCAAATCATGTGACTGCTACTGTTTCCTTCAGCAAAACTACTGCCTTTTTAGGTATGCAAATGAAATTGGTATAAGCAGACAGGATATGACATGCTGTTATACTTTGAAACATTTTCAGCTCATCTGCTAAGAGCAGACACACAGAGACAGCTTCCATCATTTATACGACTGAGGGCAAGCCACCCGAAAATGTCTGAGAGTACTTATGCCAATATAAACGCTGATAGAACATGGGATATGGGCAGACACACCAAGAGAAACCAAACACCTCAACACACAGGTACAAATACAAACAAACTTTTATTGTATTGGGTGTAGAAATTAAGAACCGTTATCTTCATATATGTCATCTTCAGGAAGTGATTCAGTGAAGATCAGAAGCTCCAGAGCAGCTGCAGTGTGTTTGGTGCTGCTGTGTGTTCTTCTGCTGACTGCAGTCATAGTGCTGTGTCCACATCCATACAAAGAACACAAACTACAGAGAAGAGACACACCAGCTACTAACCAAGATCACCAACCTCACAGAAGAGAGAGACCAGCTACTAACCAAGTACATAAACATGACAAATGAAAGAAATGGATTATTAATCAATAATGACAACCTGACTAAACAACGAGAACAGTTCAAGCAAGAGAGAAATCAACTGCGGAAGATTCTCAGTGAAACAGGTGATACTGAGCTACAACTAAGCAATGAGCTATTACTAATGTTTCATTATTCAGTGTAGTGTAGGTGGGAATATTGAGCTAATAGCTGAACTGGTTGTGTTTACAGATGGATGGCTACACTCTAACTTCAGCTTTTACTTCATTTCCTCACTGAAGAAGACCTTGAATGAGAGCAAAATATACTGTATGGAGAGAGGAGCAGATCTGATCATCATAAACGACAGAGAGGAACAAGTGAGTGAAAAAGAGAGCGGATGAAAAGAGTAGGCCTATATATTTTCTAATATGGTATGTGGATGTCTATTTGGAAGTTGCATGCCTGGTTTATTCTACTAGGACTTTGCAAAAAAGGTTTCCCGTGGTAATGAATTCTGGATTGGTCTGACTGACAGTGATGAAGAGGGCAGATGGAAATGGGTTGATGGCAGCACACTGACCTCTGGGTGAGAAATCACTGAATTAAACTGATTGTTATCTAATAAATGATTCTCACAGGCAGTATCATATCACATAGTAAATAGCACTGAACATCTAATGCTGATCTGTTGCTACAGGTTCTGGGGGTCTGGAGAGCCCAATGGACAGAGAGGAGAGAACTGCGTTGTGTCTTATCCATCAGGGTGGTATGATTATCCATGTAATGATGCTTTTAGATGGATCTGTGAGAACAAAATCTTTTAAGAAAATAATTAATTAATAACATATTAATTCAACAACCAATATATGAAATAAGTAAAACATATAGTCTTGTATGCCATACAATTTTTTTTTTAGTTTAGCCTGATTAATAATTTGATTTTGTAATTATGCAAAGAAGCTTTTGTGTCAAAAGATACATTAAAATAAATCAAGTTTTAAGTAAACATACTTTACTTTGCACTGTATTGATTGACTGATTGGTTGATTGATTGGTGTGCATGAATGTCAGTATTTAGGGTTGGCATTCATATTTCCATACAGATGTTACTTTGAATTGTCCTGTTCAAACAACATCTCAAAGAGCTAATCAAATACTCTCATTATGAACAAATAACTAAAGAAATGCCTCTTTAATATTCTCACGATAGTAATAAATGATGACAGTAACTATAGTGACAGTGACTAAACTATCAAGGATGATGTCACAATTAAAATATTATTTAATATATGTGACGCATATTTTGTATGAGGACGTTTATGTTGCTTCCTGTCTGCTGTACTTTTGTAGTCAGTTTGTAGTTTTTTCTGTTGTTCCCAGGTATGTCTTGTTTGCTCATTTGTGTCTGCCTATACCTTAGTGTTTCCTGTCTTTTTTGTCGAGTCTTGTCCTGTAAGGCTGTGTGTTTGCTGTGCTCATTCTGTTCCTCTGGCTTGGATTTGTTACCTTGATGTTCTCTGAGTTCATTTGTATTTTTGTTTTGCTCATTAAACTCACTGCGTTTGGATCCAGCTCTCCCTCTTTTTTGAGTTCACCTTACATTACAACATGAATCCAAATGAGGAGTTCATCAGGCAAATGTGGCAAAAATAAAATTAATTTACTGTTTTTATGAGCATCCTGACCAACCTGACACTGACTCAACTAATGGTGTGTGTTTGGGACAGGACTTTCGGTTGGGGAGTGATCAGGAAACATGTCTAATTTAGTACCTCCGTTTGTTGATGCTAATAGCGAAGAAATAAAACACTTGTACTTGACCACATGCTTTTAGACTTCACACAATGATCTAAGATAGAAAGAAAGGAAGAACAGAACGAAAACTCATTTACTACCATGTCTGTCATAATCAGGAAGTTGCTGTAGAAGAGCACTGTGGCATTAGTTCATGCATTTTTGTATGTATGTATTTCAACTTTTTTTTTTGTATGATGAATGCTAAATTAACACTTTCTTGAAAACTTTTTATCATGCCTCCATTATTTACATTTGCTTATTTTCAACCTTTACAGTACATATATATTTGATTTTATCTAAAAATATGAACACTCATCTGCATTTTAAAAATTATTAGCAAAATACAGTAAACAAACTTATTATAATTTCATTGCATGCACATTTTTTATTTATTCATTTATTTATATATTTTTACACCAATTATACTATCCCCCCAGTTCCATAAATTCCCCCAGACAAACAATTTCACCTACAATGTAAGCATCAGAACTGGACCGTGGAGAAATAGAAGAAGGTTGCCTGGTCTGATCAATCACATTTTCTTTTAGATCTGATGGATGGCCAGGTGCTTGTATGTCATTTACCTGGGGAAGAGATGGCAGCAGATGCACTATGGGAAGATGGCAGGCCGGTGGAGGCAGTGTTATGTTCTGGGCAACGTTCTGCTGGGAAACCTTGGGTCCTGGCATCATGTGAATGTTACTTTGACACATACCATCTACTTAAAGATTGTTGCAGACCACGTACACGTCTTCATGGCAATAGTGCTCCCTGACGGCAATGGCCTCTTTCAGCAGGATAATGCACCCTGCCACACTCCAAAGATCCCAGTCCAATTGAACATCTATGGTATGTGCTGGACCAACAAATCCAATACATGGAGGCCCCACCTTCAACTTGCAGGACTTAAAGCAGTGGAATCGCTAGGGATTCTGGGTCCATTGCACAGAATTTGCTATGGGGCCCCCTCAAAATCACATTCAGTGTGGAGTGGGAACTCATTTTAGCCTCTGGGTATTGACTATGCATTCTCAATGACAATGGTCATCTTGAACTGCCACTGAACTAATACTGTAACTAAAAATAACAATAGTGTGTGCTTGGGGCGGGACTATGGGTTGCTTTGATCAATAGCAGACTGTGGAGAGTGATGAGGAATCTAACATAGCATTTCACATTTGTTGACTCTAATGGGCAGAAGTTGCAATGGCCACATCCTTTCAGACTTCACACATTGATCTCAGATCAGTTTCACTCTGCTACTACATTCTAAATGGGGAAAGAAAAGCCAATGTGGAGTGAATGACACAGGAAGAACATTCAACATTTGCACAGTTTAAATGAACTGGACTGTAAAAGCGTAGAAATGTCTGATGATATTTATGACGATGTGATCAGAACTGAGTCTGAGAGAGTGGAGATGACGGTGGCTATCTATGAGAGTGCAGACTGTGTGAGAGGTCATAACTTCTTGCCAGAGACAAACACACACCAACCACTTCAGCAAACAGGTAATTACATTAATTTCTTTGTTAAAAACATCAGTTTTCAAGTGTTCAGTCATCTAACATTATGTCTGTGGTGTTCAGGAAGTGATTGTGTGAAGAACAGAAACTCCAGAGCAGCTGCAGTGTGGCTGGTGCTGCTGTGTGTTCTTCTGCTGACTGCAATCATAGTGCTGTGTGTCCACATCCATACAAAGAACACAAACTACACAGAAGAGAAAGACCAGCTACTAACCAAGATTAACAACCTCACAGAAGAGAGAGACCAGCTACTAACCAAGAACATAAACTTGACAAATGAAAGGGATGGATTATTAATCAAGAATGACAACCTGACTAAACAAAGAGAGCAGTTTAATCAGGAGATAAATGAACTGGTGAAGAGTCTTCATGAAACAGGTAATCTTGAACTTTATCAATATACTATAACAAGAAATATAGTTCGTACATACTTCAGTGTAAGTGGGAATAAATAATTAGCTGAACTGTTGTTTACAGATGGATGGTTATATTATAAATTTAGTTTGTACTTCATTTCCTATGAGAGGAAGAGCTGGACTGAGAGCAGAAGATTCTGTACAGAGAAAGGAGCAGACCTGATCATCATAAACAGCAGAGAGGAACAAGTGAGTGAAAGAGTGGAGTGGAGGAAAAGCAGTACTGAAAAAGGACTGAAAAAGAATATATTTTCTTAAAATTATGTTTATATCTATTTGGAAGTAAGAACAAAAGGGTGTTTCAACTCTGGGTAAACTGAATCCTGGGTCATCATGTTTCACGTTTCACACTGCTTATACTTTCCTGGGCTTAATGATTACATTCCTAACCCTGGGTTCCTCTTCAGGAACTCGAGCTGCGTCGGAAAATGCTAGGGGAATGCCTTCTGTGACCACGCTCTGAATAACATGTGAAATCAGTCCAATAGCTGAGCGGGACGTCACGGGCGGGTGACGTCATGACCAGGAAGCTATAAAAGCACGTGCGGCGGAGCCAGCGTCAGCTTTTCTGTCATTCAGCGAAGCGCTCTGTGTGTGTCAGTCATATTTATTGTTGTCTGTCAATTGTGAAGGTCTATAAGCTCCAGCTATGTCTAAGCTCATGCAAAGACAAAGCATTTCAAGGGCGAGAGCAAACCACGTTGTAGGTTGTGTGTTCCTCCGTGCCCAAAGAAAACGTTATATCACGAGTGGGGATACACACAGCCTGTGCGTGGTTTGCTTCTGAGCGTCTCGGTGCCATACTTCCGGCATCCCTGCCAGCGCTTGCCTCATTCCTGAAGCTGACGCTGGCTCCGCCGCACGTGCTTTTATAGCTTCCTGGTCATGACGTCAACCGCCCCTGACGTCCCGCTCAGCTATTGGACTGATTTCACATGTTATTCACAGCGTGGTCACAGAAGGCGTTCCCCTAGCATTTTCCGACGCAGCGTCTCATTCCCTAGAGGAACCAAGGTTACATACGTAACCTGAGACGTTAATGTTCTTATTTGCATATTTGCAATGTCAACAGCAATGATTGGATAAATATAGCACCTGACAGGTTGAAGAAGTGACTCATATACTTGATAGAAATGAATGTTTTTCATCATTTTGTAGTAATTTGGGTTTACAAATCATTTGTTTTATTTAAACTACTTCTAAGTTGTTTCCAACTTAAATGTGTGACAAACATATGACATAACATTCATAACAATGAATGCTTGATTAGGAGGTACAATGCTGGGTTCAGCCAGTTGGGTCATTAATATTATTATTATTATTTATATATTTATTTTTTAAATATTTTTACCCAGGTGCTGGGTAGTTTTTCTGTAACTCAGCTGCTGGGTTATTTTTTACTGTCAATGCAAATGATGAACCCCCTCACAAACCTACACAGCGCTGGGTCAGTGTAACCCAATGTTGGGTAAACTGTGCCAAACCAGTTAAAGCTGGATACATTTTTTAGTGGCCATTTTGTGTTCTGTCCTGAGAGAAAACTTGACTGATGGGAAACTTCCAGAATGAAATTAAGGTTTGCATTACTTTATTCCTGTCAAATTATTACTGTATAAATAGGAAAGCGATTGTAGTCTCACATTTCATCTTTTTGTATACATGTACATCGCAGCTAACCCCTGCTTGGAATGCTAGCCTACACTGGATCTACACTCAAAGAGAACGGCGCGCCGGCACCACCGTGGAAGTTTCACTTCCCGCCAAACGAATGCGTGACCAAGGTTAAAACACGACACTACATTGCTGTTATATGTAACAAAGTTTCTGTGTGCTCCACTGACTACAACTGCGCAGCTGTGGTCGCACTATGTGTTTGACGGGTTGAAAATGAAATTTCTTAAATGTCTGACAGATGAGATGCCAAGAGGAGAATCTGATTTTGATGTAACTTTTCAATCATGAATATAATTTCATGAATGTCATTTAATGAACTGGAACAGCTTACCGAACAGTTTTCTTTCCACAGATTCCCATTGGCTGATGTTGCTGCTCCTGTCACATCCCGTGTTTTTTGAGTATTTCATGATTGTACAAGAATGACTTGCCACTGAATAATAATTTTTAAAAAAATTTATAAGAACTGTTCCTCTCTAGTATATATAACAAAGATTTTAGAGTGCATTTTTCTTACTAAAAAATAAATAAATATATAAAAACCTTCGATATCAGGTTGACTGACCCAGCACTATGTCAAACACAACTCAACTAATAGGTTAATGCAGTGGTTCCCAACCCTGGTCCTGGAGGCACCCCAACACTGCACATTTTGCATGTATCCTTAATCAAACACACCTGATTCAGGTCATTGGCTCATTAGTAGAGACTCCAAGATCTGAAATTGGTGTGTCAGAGAAAGGAGATATGCAAAATGTGCAGTGTTGGGGTGCCTCCAGGACCAGGGTTGGGAACCACTGGGTTAATGTATAAAACCCAACAAGCTGGGTCAAAATAACCCAGCATGTGTTCTTTCCAATATTTTTTCAGCGCTGGGTTGCTAAATAAACCAGAAATGGTTGTTTTTAACCCAGCATTTTTTAGTGTACGAGTTTGTGCACTTAAAAGGCAGCATCTGTCCATTCTGTATGGAGGCTGATAGCGGAAACATTTCTAGCAGTGAAACACAAAGTTATAAATAAATATATGATTATGACAATACATTGTTTGTATGTGTTTTTTATGCAATTTGTGGTATTTCTCTGAGCATAAAGAATGGTTATTCAAGAAATGCTAAGCAGATGTTGATATATTTCTGGCCACACAGGGTTTCTGATATGATACAAGTTCTGATTGGCTGTCCATTGCTAAGCATCTAGCCGCAAAGTGACTTGACACGTTTAGCACCGCAATGTAGAGTTAACAATACAAAAGCAGTGCTAACCCTGCTCCACTTTTAAATTTAAGTTTGAAATGTTCCTTTATCAAGGATAAAAGTGGGGTTTATAATGATGATAACCAAGGGTTAAGCACAGTGTGAAAAGCCCTAATGCATGTCTTCCTCATTTATTCTAGAATTTTGTCAAAAGTATTGCTGAGAGCACATTTGTCTGGATTGGTCTGACTGACAGTGATGTGGAGGGCAAATGGAAATGGGTTGATGGCAGCAACATGATTTCTAGGTGAAAAAAAAAAACACTGAACAGAACTGATTGTTATGTAATAAATGATTCTCATAGTCAGTATCATATCACACAGAAAGCAGCACTGAACATCTAATGCTGATCTGTTGTTTCAGGTTCTGGGTGTCTGGAGAGCCAAATAGACAAAGAAAAGAGAACTGTGCTGTGTCATATTCATCAGGGTGGTATGATTATCTATGTAATACTGCATATAAATGGATCTGTGAGAAGAGCTTTGTAAAGTATCACATACCATGATATACAAGTTTACTTGCAGTATTTTTGACATGAATAAGAGGGTTTACTCTTCTAAACCCCAGACTTTTTTTATATATATAGTATAATATTTGTTTTGCATGTTATGTCATTAAAGTCTTGATGTCTTTAACTTACAGTTGTATTAATGTGTCATTCCACACTGGGCAATGTCAGTCCTGTAACTCCAGTCAGTGTTTCTTAAGAATCACATACACACCTGTAGAACATTTGATTTCTGTGACCTGCTTTAGAGAGGCTTGACATGATTAAACATACAGATAAAAAAATGGAATTGAAACTTTGCAGCAATTACAAATGGTCAATTAGATGTATTGTCTTAAAATGCATGCCTAGTATGAGGAAGAGTCATAGTGCTGCAGTCATAGTGCCGTGTCGTGTGTTCAAGTCTTTATAAACATCGGCCTGTTTCAAACCAAAGGCAAAACATCATGGAAGAAAGAAACCAGCTACTATATATATATATATATATATATATACACA